ACTAATTGTAGAAAGTGGGTCGGGTCGGGTTTAAAAACTCAACAATCCAACTCAAAATGCCCGGCCGATAATCCCGATAAAAAAGCCTTACTTATCGGCCGATAAGTACCGATAACGCCGATAACTCGCCGATAAACTCTCCAAAACGATAACCAATTACAAAACCAACTTATCCTAGCGGAGAGCTCTTAAATCCGATAACTCGGCCGATAATATCGATTATCGGCCGATATTTAAAACAATGATGATGACACATAGTGGATTGCCTAGATCCTTTTGGACCGAGGCGTTGGTTTATGCGAGCCATCTTGTTAATAGGTTATCGTGCACTGTGAGACAGGGGAAGACTCCGATGAAGCGTTGGTCTGGTTCCGTGGCTAGTGACTATGAGACGTTTCGGATATTTGGGTGTCCAGCTTATTTCCATGTCAGTGATGGAAAGTTGAATCCGAGAGCGAGGAAGACCGTCTTTGTGGGATTTAGAGGTGTCAAAGGCTTCAAATTATGGGATCCACAAGATAAGAAGATGATCATTAGTAGAGATGTTACATTTGATGAGGCGTATATGATGAAGCCTTGAGTTTCTCAGCAGGTGGAGGAAAATCAGACAGGAGGGATATCATAGCAGGTAGAGGATGATGTGACTCCACCCACTCCAGACAGCATTGTATCCATTGAGGTTCCTACAGAGATGAAACTGAGAGGAGATGAGATAACAGCCGGGCATTTGGAGGATATAGTGGATGGTGAGACTCAGGAGCAGGGTCATGCTCAGGGGTCCATTGCAGCAGATAGACCGAGGAGAGTGATTCGTCGGCCAGCTAGATATGATGATGTCATGGTGGCATATGCTTTATCAGTAGAGGTCGTTGATGATTTGGTTCCTTCCATATTTAGGGAGGCAGAGTCTAGCCCTGATTCTATTAGGTGGAGGAATGCTATGGAGGAGATGCAATCTCTTCAGAAGAACGGCACTTAGGAACTTACAAAGCTACCTAAGGGTCAGAAAGCTATTGGTTGCAAGTGGGTGTATGCTAAAAAAGATGGATCTTCTATTAGGGACATTCGGTTCAAAGCCAGATTGGTTGCCAAGGGATATGCACATCTTGAGGGTGTTGATTATAACGAGGTGTTTTCACCCGTTGTGAAGCATTCGTCGATTCAGATTCTATTGGCATTAGTGGCACAGCTGGATTTGGATTTGGTCCAAATGGACATGAAGACGGTCTTTCTACATGGAGACTTAGATGATGAGATCTACATGACACAAGCCATGGGGTTTAAAGCTGCAGGAAGAAAAAATTTGGTGTGTAAATTGAAAAATCTTTTTATGGATTGAAATAATCACTGCGACAGTGGTACAAGAGATTTGATAGCTTTATGATTGGCTAAGGGTACACGAGGAGCCCTTATGACCAGTGTGTGTATATACGCAAGCTACAGGATGGTGAGCACATTTACTTGTTATTATATGTTGATGATATGCTCATTGCTTTCAGGAATACTTCAGTTATTGGGAAATTAAAAAAAGAGTTGTCATCTGAATTTGAGATGAAGAACCTGAGAAAGGCTAAGAAAATATTGGGTATGGAGATTGAGCGAGACAGGGTGAAGGAGAGATTGAAGCTTACACTGAGAAGTTACTTACAAAAAATGCTGAAGAAATTCAGTTTTGAGGGCAATGCCAAGGTGGTGAATACTCCATTAGCTTCCCATTTCAAGCTTTCAGCTTTGATATTACCAGTTTCACCGGAGGATCGGGACTACATGACCAAAGTTTCATACGCCAGTGCAGTGGGTAGCTTGATGTATGTTATGGTGTGTACGAGGTCAGATTTGTCACAGACCGTGAGCATGGTATCTAGGTACATACACAACCCTAGGAAGGGTCATTGGGAGGTCGTGAAGTGGATTCTACGGTATATTAAGGGTACCGTGGATGTTGGGTTGATATTTGAGAAGAATGATAAGACAGGACAAGATTGTATTGGCTACGTGGATTCAGACTATGCTGAAGATATTGACAAGTGTCGGTCCACTACAGGTTATGTTTTTACATTGGCTAGTGCACCGGTGTGTTGGAGATGCACTCTTCAGTCTACAGTGACACTCTCTACTACGGAGGCGGAGTATATGACGGTGACTGAAGCTGTGAAGGAGGCTTTGTGGCTGCATGGTTTGTTGGATGATTTGGGGTTGCACAGGAGACCATTCAAGTATATTGTGATAGCATGTCAGCTATTTATTTGGCGAAGAACCAATTCTACCATGCACGCACGAAGCACATTGATGTCAGATTTTACTTTGTACGTGACATATTGGATGATGGTGATGTCACGTTGGAGAAGGTCTATACTAAGGACAACCCTGCTGATATGTTGACCAAAGTTGTTCCAGGTGTGAAGTTTGGTCATTGTTTGAATTTATTGAACATTCTTCGATGTTGAGGTCATTGGGGGTCATTTGGATGAACTACGTTCGGCTTGATTCCTTGGGCAAGAGGATACGTAAGCAGTCTTGCTGATGCAGCCGGTTGTATTAGTTGAGTTTGATCGGGGGTGAGATTGTTTGAGCTCTCTTTTGGAGTCCCGACTTGTTGTGGATTGAGTCCGTTATCATGGATCGGTTCCATGGCGTATTGGACGCAACAAGTGGGACATTTGGGTGTTTTGATGTCGGCTCAGTTTTGGCAAAACGTTTGCCGAGGTGGAGATTTGTAGAATTGGCAGAAAAAAGCAGTTGATGGAGCATAAGAGTCATTTTGACAGCTTGGCAGTCGACCGCGGGTCTATGGCGATAGACCGCATTCGTGCACGGGCCCTCACTATGTTTCTGCACCTTTGGCGGTCGACCGTGGCGGCATGCACGGGACCTCACTGTGCCTCTGGATCTCTGCGGTCGACCACGAAAGTTTCTGTTGTCTTGGGAAGTCTCTGGAGTTGATGCGGTCGACCGCCACGGTCGATCGCGATGCCTGCGCGGTCGACCGTCGTATCGGATTTGGGCTGGGTTTGGTTTCCAGACCCATTTCGTTTGTGAGTTGTATATATACCCTTAACTCGTTTTTATGGTTTAAGGGTAGAGGATTTTGAGCAGCTGAAAGAGGTGATTTGGGGCTTCTATTGTTGGAGCCATTTGGAGAGATTAAGAGAGCTTAGTTGTGGGTTTGTGGTAAGATTTGTAACCCTAATTGTATTCCCCTTAATTTCTATTAGTAAAACTCCCCCTTCCTTGCCCCGTGGACGTAGGCAATTGCCGAACCACGTATATACTGTGTTCTTGTTATGATTGGGGTTGCTTGTGCTATTGTGATCTATTTATTGGTTCTTGTGTGTGCTATTGACTTGCCGAATCGGCTTCCGCCGCACACAACACATACTGCTGTAAGTTACTCCAGAAATGGGAGGGGGAGAGGAGGCAGTAATCAGCAGCATACTGAAATGAGTTATACTCCTTTTTTCTCAGCCTAATTCTTGGCGTAGTGAATGTGGTCCACCATTTGAATGAGTGGAGGGGATTGTGCCATCTCACTACCAAGCATAAAAGAACAATTTTTTGAAACAGACTCATTTAAAATTTTTTTAAAAGCCGACCCCTTTTTTTTATTTACAAAAACCGACCCGATTTTGTGATTAGCAGTCTAATTACATTCCTAAACAGTCGGGGTTGACAACCCCGACTATTTAGGACATTAATTTTTAGGCTTTAAGGCTTCTAATTAGGGTTTAACACCCTCCTAAATAGTCGGGGTTGGCAACCCCGACTGTTTGTAAGGTTAATTAACTGCTAATTACAAAATCGGTCGATTTTGTAAAAAAAAAAAAGGGTAGGTTTTAATTTTTTTTTAAATGGGTCTGTTTCAAAAAATTGTTCAGCATAAATTAATGTGTTTGGTACAAGCATATCCATATTTCTCTCTCTCTCTCTCTCTCTATATTATATATATATATATAATATATATATATATATATATGAGATTAATGGGTATCCTTGTCATAGGAGGGGATTTCCTCCTATGACGCCTCTAAATTCACATGATTCGCGACATTGTGGATGATCGCGCTCGTTGAACTTGATCTACATATTCTAAACCCAACACCAAGTTTGGGGTGAACCCGTTGTCGTTTGACCCTTCATCCACTCGTATCAATTTAACGGTTTTGAATGAATAGAACTTTTAACATGGCTCGATGGAGGGTCAAACGACGACGCATTCACCTAAAACTTGTGTGTGTTGGGGTTTTAGAATATGTAGATCAAGTTCAACGGAGCGGATCATCCACAATGTCGCTCAATCATGTGATTTTAGAGGCGTCATAGGAGGAAATCCCCTATTGACAAGGATACCCATTAATCTCTTTCTCTCTCTTCTCTATATATTATATTAATATGAGATTAATGGTATCCTTGTCATAGGAGGGGATTCCTCCTTAACGCCTGCTAAAATCACATGATTGAGCGACATTATGGATGATCCGCTCCGTTGAACTTGATCTACATATTCTAAAACCCCAACACACCAAGTTTGGGGTGAATCCGTCGTCGTTTGACCCTCCATCGAGCCATGTGAAAAGTTCTATTCATTCAAAACCGTTAAAATTGATACGAGTGGATGAAGGTCAAACGACGACGGTTCACCCACAACTTGGTGTGTTGGGTTTTAGAATATGTAGATCAAGTTTAACGAGAGCGGATCATCCACAATGTCGCTCAATCATGTGATTTTAAAGCGTCATAGAGAAATCCCTCCTATGACAAGGATACCCATTAATCTATATATATATATTATATATATATATATATATATATATATATATATATATATATATATTGCAAACTTTTTATTCTTGTTCATACATCTTCAGTTTTGCATATTTCTATCTATTCAATACGACGATTGCTCTTTATCCCCTTAATTTTATTTTCAGGATATATCTCTTGTGCATTTTATCACGTCACTTTCACAGTTTCACTAGGAGATAAAACATTGGATTGATGTTTTCTGTTATGTCTGGAATTTGACTCAGGGAACAAGACTTGGGAGTTCAGATCCTAAGGGTTGTTTCAGTAAGTAATAATCTTTATTTCTTATACTTTGATCTGCTGTTATTTTTTCCTTTTGCTCTTATATTCATCTTTATATGTGATAGAAATTCTAATTTTTAAGACTCAGAATGTTAATCAATTTTTTTCCCAGGAAGAAAATGCAGTGCCACAAAGGTTAGGACATGCTGTTATCCTGCTATATTAAGTTAGAAGTACATGCACCAAACTTCATCACTTTGATTGTGGAGTTATGTATTATATATGACCCCATTAATCATTTACCCATGTATTTCAGTTATGAAGGAATATCAGATGGCCTTTTACAATGGAAACCGGGCATTGTGGATGATATGTTTAGATCTTGATAAGAGTCTGCAAAGTATTCGAGCACATTGTAGTACTCGAGCACATTGTTTTCAAACGTTGGTTTGTTGCATTGAGGGTGCTATCTCCCTTCTTTACTAGACGTACAAACCTTCATTGTTCATGATCATGGTGTTTGTTGGATCTTACATCCACTATTTGACTCGATAAATTGATGGAATAGCTCCTCAGAGTGGCTGATTTATGAAAGGGTCTTGATCCAAATTGAATAAATTAAAAGTTCCAGATAAAGAAGAAGATAGGGGGAACAGAAGAAAAATAGTGAAAAGAGGAGTAGAAATGACATCACCTTTCATGTATGACCTGTCTTTTTTCATTGTATGAAGGAAGTGTTTCCCTTGAGTAAAACATCGATTGTAAATCCTATCATTTGTAAAAGCTTTGTTAACAACAACAATCACCGGTATTATGAATCTTTCAAAAAAAATTCAGAAACTGTTTGCTACTTGTAGAGACAAATTAATCATGATTTTATCCATCAATCTGTAACTTTCAAGTGTTAAGGTTAAGAAAAATATGAGAACTACTTCTTTTCTTTGTTTTCCTTATGAATGACATGACACTGGTACATTCTCACAATGGATTCTCTCTTTTTATTCAGCTTCGTGGGTTGAACTCTAGACCTTTCATTTGTCAAATGCATGGGCTTACCACTGTATACGAGTGTTGTCCTGCTAGTGCTAAATAATACACTGTATAATGACTAAGCATAACATCTGGGCTTCTACTTCATTGGAATATTTGCAGAGCAACTACCGAGTTTTTCGATCTTTCCTTTATACCGAACTACTTAAGTGCATCTGTTATTCTTGAATTTCAAACTTTTCACTGTGCCCACAAACAGTCTAACAGCAGATATTTCTAGCAGCAGATATTTCTGTGATTAATGAGCATATCCTGCTGTTGGCCATTTGTTAAGCTTCTGCGTTCTGATATAGTCAAATATTTTGTAATTTCAGAATACTAAAATTATGGTACTATTGAATCTGCTGAAGCATACTAATATTTTCTTAATTGATCCAATACTTTTTTTTTAAACTTCTGTTCATCTCTTGTTATAGATATTGGACTCCCATCCGGGAAGTCACTTTTCCAACTTCAAGCTGAACGGATTTTATGTGTTCAGAGACTTGCAGCTCAGTCTAAGGATGGTAAGGCATGCCAACTAATTCGTCAAGCTGATTATCTGTCAGGTTAATCATATATGTGTACCTACCAGGTTCTGCTGGACCACCAATCCACTGGTATATAATGACTAGTCCATTTACTGATGATGCCACCCGCAAGTTTTTTGAAAGTCACAAGTATTTTGGCTTGGAACCTGAACAAGTAAAAATCATGAATTGATCCTTTTCTCCATTTTGCATTATATAATTCTCTTTAGTTGATTTCCCCCTTTGATGTAGATCACCTTCTTCCAACAAGGCACCATTCCCTGCATTTCACGGGATGGTAGATTTATCATGGAGACCCCATACAAGGTGCATACTCTATTTTCTGATGTACACAAGACCTGTGTTTAGTATTTGCTTTCTGTAAGATCATGAACCTTCACAGGTTAACTCCAAAGTTTCAACTAATTTAGATTCTGCTGGTTACTTGTTTAACTTTACTTGAAGTCATTTTAACTTCCCTTCCTCACTCATTCCAACTCTCCCACCAGAAACTGACCTTCACGATTTGAAGTATATCTTCTAATTTTCTAATACAGAAAGGCTGGACATTTTTAACTTGAACTTACAATCTGGAACAATTCACCCTATCCATAAGTCTATCATACGTGCCCCCTTCTTCTATGTGTATAGAGTTTTTCACTTTCATCCTCTATTTCCATGGATGACTTGCAAACAATCTCATGAAACCAATTAACTGTGATGCATGGGCACATCACGCTTATATGCGGTATGACAGAACAAAGTAATGTAATTTTAAGGGATTTATTTTATACATAACTATGTGCATGTGTGTGACGCTTTTTTAAAGAAAATACAGAATGAATTGTTAATTTTAAAGTAATAAGCTGGCTACTATAAGATAAAAAGGGTATTTCCATGCATACCCCTTAAATCATGGATATTTGTAAAAATACCCCCAAATCTTAGTTTTTGCAAAACTACCCCTCAAGTCATCAACTTAGTGAACAAAGACCTCTAAAATCAACATATCATCAACTTGGTGCTAATAATTCTATTTTGTTGATAATTTTTACATTGCGGTTACAAATCAGCTTATCAAAGCTGATGATTTATTGCTTTGAGGGTACTTTTCCAAAATTGATGATTTGACGGGTTGTTTTGCAAATACTGAGATTTGGAAGGTATTTTTGCAAAAACCCATGATTTAAGGGGTATGTATGCAAATAACCCAAGATAAAATTTCAAGTTAGTAAACCAAGACTTACTTGAATAATCCTCTTCCATTATTAAAAAAGCAAGCCACTAACGAAAATGCATCTACATGTAAGTTTGACTTTGTACTCCATCATTGTTGATTTATTGGATTTTTATTTTTACTTGAATATTCTCTGATATATGTATTACATATATTATAATTTACAGGATACACCAAAAAGATTGCTTGGATTAGTGACTCATGTTATTCATCAAACTTTATGTGTATTTGACATGGACACACCTCCAAAAATGCAGCATTCATGCTTCATAGCCCTGTGACCAACCGGTCAAACACTAAACAAATTGGAAAACAACGAGCTCACGTGTATTCCTAAACTGATAGTTCTCAAGCAACTTACGTAAATGCATCTACATATAAGTTTGACTTTGTACTCCATCATTGTTAATTCATTGGATTTTTATTTTTACATGAGTATTCTCTGTTATATGTATTACATATGTTATAATTTACAGGATACACCAAAAAGATTGCTTCGATTAGTGATTCATGTTATTCATCAAACTTTATGTGTATTTCACATGGACACACCTCCAAAAATGCAGCATCAATGCTTCATAGCCCTGTGACCAACCGGTCAAAGACTAAACAATTTGGAAAACAACGATTTCACGTGTATTCCTAGACTGATAATTCTTATCCTATCCTATCTACATCAAAATCAAGTATTCTATATTCTTTCCTTATACAAGTAAAAATAAAATACAAATAAAAACAATATTTTCCCACTGTTTGCCACCGTGAATTTAGATCTCTGGCCATCCCTGCAGCATAAATCAAGCCTAATAACAACACAAACAAGTCTAAGCCATCCCGTATGCATGGAAGACACTACATGCTACTTTTGACACAGAACAAGACATATGTGATGAGCACATTTTTATTTATTTTATTTCAATTCTATGTCTCTACACTTTTTTATTGTGTTGATAAGTTTGCACTTGTTGTACCCCATATTGGATTGGCTTCTAACCGTATCGTACAATTGAATTATCACTTTGTCATCTTCTACTATTTATTTATTTTTATGAGAAAATCTTCTACTATTTATTTTATCAGGCAATATTGATTGTTAGCTATCTCTTAATTCTTTTCATTTCTTTGCCTTCCTGAAATATTATTAGCCAACTTCTATATGCTTCTCTAGTTTTGTGGCCTTCATTCTCTTTCCTTGTAAGTTGCTGAAACTTATTTTTGCACCAGGTGGCAAAATCTCCTGATGGAAATGGAGGATTGTACTCTGGTAGGACCTGGAGATATGTAGTATATGCTCTGTGAAATTGCTAATTATTTAACCTTCATTGGGTTAAACTGATCAGTAAATAAAATCATAATCCTTACTTTTGTTTTTTTCACAGCTCTAAAATCTTCAAAGTTACTCGAAGATATGGCTAGAAGAGGTGTTAGATATGTGGACTGCTATGGGGTTGATAATGTTCTGGTGAGATGTTTGGTTTGTCAAAATATTAGTGAACTCTATTTATTTCTACTTTACATTTAATCTCCTGGTAACAGGTTCGTGTAGCAGATCCGACATTCCTTGGATACTTTATTGACAAAGGTGCAGCAGCAGCAGCAAAAGTTGTTAGGAAGGTATAAACTCTTGCTTTGACACTGTTTTGGCATAGACTTGGGATCTAGATGGCATTTATGTAATATGATTGCAAGGCTATTTCACTTCGAATGTTGCATCGTCTTCCCTTCCATAACTTTGTGTGGTCCTAAGTTGCATGAAAATGGGTACGGGTATCTGTAGGCGTCAAAAAATGCTGAAAGATATCCTAGCGCAGCTCAAAAGGAGATTATCGAAAAATCAAAGAAAAAAGACAGTCTTTACTGTCTCGCCCGCGAGACAGACTTTACTGTCTCGCCCTCGAGACAGTCTTTACTGTCTCGCCGTGCGAGACAGTTCTCGAAGGTTCAGAAACTATTTTATAAACCGCCGACACGTGGCCATTAACTACCAAAGAACATGGGAAACGTTGTGGACGAGAATCACGTTGACAACTGCCAAAATAACGGAGTTTTAAAACGTGGGAAGACAGTTAAAACGAAAACTGCCAGACAGTTAATGTTTTCGAGACAAGACAGTCTTTACTGTCTCGGCCACCGAGACAGTAAACACTGTCTCGGAAGCACTGTTCATCCTGGAGGCTATAAATACCCCCTGAGATCGATTTTTGAGGGGGGCTGATCAGAGAGCATGGGCTGATTTCAGAGCAGACAGAGCAGAGTTCCTGAGCTTCTGGCAATTCCTTGAGATTCGAGCTTTGACTTGATTTCAAGAAGAACGACTATCTTACTTTGATAAGATATCGTTTCAAATTCTCACTTCGATAAACGAAGGAAGAATCACTAAGCCCCTCACGATTCAATCAGAATCTGTGATTTGGTGGTCCACGAGCCAAAGCGTTCCCGGCACAGGCAAAGATCCCACGCAAGCAGCGATCCAAACAACGATCCTGTGTTTGTTTCTAAAAAGTTATAATTTTAATTTTTGTTGTGTAAAAGAAGTCTTATAAAAAGACTATTTCTTTTGAATTTGTTGTAATCTATGTTACCCCGACACGGCGAAATTGATCCCGTACCCGTGTCGGGTACGTATTGAGTACGGATCCGCACCCAAACGGCAGGGACACGGCGATTTCACAAAGGAAAAAAAAATCAACACAAAATTCTAAACCAGGAACCCTAGAATCCATACCTGAGCTTGGTGGGCTTGGGCTTGCGACGGTTGGGGATGGGAGCCTTCACGTCGTCAACGGGGTAAAACTTCGGCGGATTCTCGAGCGGGAGAACTTGCCGATCCCTCGAACGAGATCTGCGTTCCTGGATGAAACCCTAGCGGTTTTGCGAGGGGCCATTGAGGGAGGACTGCGGAAACCCTAGAGATTGGCGGCGAGGAGAAAGGGAGGAGGCGACGAATTCAGAAACCCTAGAGGTCGAGGTTTGAGGAGAAATGAGAGGAGGCGGGGAATAGCAGAAACCCTAGAGAGGGAGGTTGAGCTTTTATATGGGGAGTTTGGGTTTGGGTTTGGGTTTGGGTTGTTTTTAATAACCCGTTTGGTTTTTTTTTGGGTTAAAACAGGGACGGGTTTGGGTTTGGGTTTTTTTTCAATCACCTGTTTGTTTGTTGTTTTCTTTTTTTTTCTTTTGAAATGGGGAGGGGTTTGGGTTTGGGTTTTTTGGGATATAGAACTAACTTTTAGAGGTATATTTGCAACTTTAAACAATATACTTGTAATATTTTGAGGGATGCTTGTCATATTTTGGGGTATATTTGCAAATGTAATAGGTATTTAATTCAATATTGATCTAAAGTGAATTACTTTATATATATACAGCCGTGTCCCCGTACCCTACTTTTTACAAATTTGCCGTGTCCCGTACCCGTACCCGTACCAAGGCAACATAGGTTGTAATTGACTGAAGATATAATGAATTCCACAACGAGACCAACTTTTGACGCAAACAAACTGACGACCACAGTGGGAGCCAACGGTTTCACTGCCGAGACCATCGTGTCGCAGCCAATCAAGATACCGATTGAATCCACGGTCGAGTATGAATTTGACCAAGCGAAATTTGAGGAATATCTGTCAGCCTTATCCTCAAAGTCTTCCTCGCCTCACAAATGCAGGAAAATTTTATCTTCTAAGAAGGTTTTCAAGTTTTCGACTCCGTCGAATATTACAAATGAAGACTCTCGCCTCATTGTTGCTGAGAATTCTACTCGCAACATCTCTGCTCATGATGACTCTTATCTAGTTAAAGAGTCATCAAATCAAAGCTCATTGGCACTGACGAAGAGGGCTCATCAGAGACAACGTCAGCGCCGCGCTCGCCAAATAGCTAAGGCCTTGGAACAAACCGACGGGGTTCGTTATCACGCGGACCTAGAGTCGAGGAGGCATCGAGTAGTTCAGTTGTCGCAACGACCAATAACTCATACCTCTGCTAAATTAACGACGGATGAATGGACTTTCGTCAAAAGGGCGCGCTCGACCCTCAAAGAACGTATACAAAAGCGTCGTGCAAACGCTGCTCATGCCCGTGCTCTCTTACAACAAAGACGAGCAAGAAACAAGGAGATGGTGGCCAAAGAACCACCAAAATTCTGCAAAGTTTGGATTCCAAAGTCCGGAGTTGTGCAAAATCAGCATTCGGAACCCATTAAGACTCCACACCCGCAAGGGGGTAGTTCCAAACGTGTGACTCCTGAAATAACCTTGGATCGCTCAAAGGCAACAATAATTTGTCCTGAGAATGCCAACAAGGTTTTACACCCCCAGAAGAAGACGTGTTCGCCAAAAGACATCGTTATGCCTGGGAGGTCATACCAACAGACGATAGGATTTTTCGGCAATCATACCGATGAATCATACTATCAAATTGTGGGTTTGAATAGATTTCGAAAGAGAATTGTTCAAAAAATGAACTCTCATTGTTTCTGTGTGCGACTCATTAGAGCAGTATTGTCGGAAGATGATTACTCCAAACGAGAAGCCATCCCGCAAAGAGTCTCAATGGTCCAGAGACTTTTCACCGAAATGTCAAAGCCCAAGCCGGGACATTTCTGCAATAAACTTGCTGTCCAAGAGGATGAACTCCCTGAAGTCACCATCAACATGGTTGATAAAAGAAAGTCTAAGCGGCATTCAAGTTGAATCAAATCCCGACTTTTTCCCGAGAGAAAAAGTCAATTCAAGAATTGCCAAACGGATGTCCCGACTCCAGTTAGGAGTCATCAGACATAGAGACTACAAGAGAATGCATGAAGGAATGTCATCAGAGGATGAGCTCTCGGATACTTGTTCTGCGATCACTTCGGATGATACAGTATCTAGCACAGGACAAACCAGAGAAGTACTCACAATCACCTCTGATCAGTTCACTCAAATACTTCAAGAAGCTCTAGCCAAACAACGTGAAGAAATTAGAGCTGAAATGAGGACAGAGATGGAGTTAGCTATCCAACAAATGAGAGAATTGCTAGCTCAATGGTCTCAACCTCCTGAGTCTAGTCAGCGAGCTGAATCTAGTCGCCACACTCAGAATGTTATAGATGATAGTGATCCAGAAGTGGATGAAGTCATTATGGCTGATACTCCTCCCAATAGCAATAAATCTGGGGGTGGTTTAACGCACCCTCCCAATAACGATATTAGGGGTGGTTCAATGGCACCTCTTACAGGGGATGACCTAACTCATTCTCCTCAACGTCCTTCGAATGAAAACATAGGCGATGACGAGAAAATGAAAGAGCTTGAAAACAAAATCAACGCTTTGATGACGGCTCAAGAAGTAAAAAAGACGGGTATTCCATGTCCCTATCCAAGAGAATGGGATTCAATACCGTACCCGGCAGAATTCAATCTGATTAACTTCACACCGTTTGAGGGGAAGAGCTCGCCTATTCAGCACTTGATTTATTTCAAGTCTCATTTGGGCATGATCGCTGGAAACGAGGCTTTAATGGTCCGGTCATTCGTTAGCACCCTTCGTGGGCCCGTCTTCGATTGGTATCGACGTCTCAAACCAGGGAGCATCAATTGCTGGGATGACATAGAAAGTTTGTTCCTCAACAATTTTTTCGATGATGACACCGAAGTGTCAATCGGAACCCTTCTGGATGAGAAGCAAAAAGACGGAGAGTCAGTCGACAATTTTATCAAGCGCTTCCGTAACAAGGCAATGAATTGCAGAGATCCTGTTACAGAGGAGTTTATCCTGCAAACATGCCACAATAATCTCTCCATTGATGTTCTGGAAGCTCTGGGGGTCGTACCATCCAAGACTTGGAAAGATTTGAAAGTGCGCGGTGAACAAACTGAACACTTTCTTAAAAGAAAAAAAACTGAGAGAAGCCAACCGACGATATCTGCAATTCCTGTGAACGCGACTCTCGATCCGAAGTTTCAAAAGGAGTATTCTTTCGAAAACGATGAAGCTCCAGCCATATTGAAATACCTCCTCGTCAATGGCAAAATTGAGCTACCACCTATCAAAGATCAGGAGGAAGCTAAGAGGATTACGGATCCAAACTATTGTGCGTACCACAAAAGGGTTCTTCATCCCACTGAGATTTGCTTTGGACTCAAAAATAAAATTCAAGCCTTAATTGACTCCGGTGTCATAACGGCGGAACAAGCTAAGTAAAGACGGTTCTAACTCCATTGGATACACGAGTATAAACTATTTTCCATCACTCCAAAGAGTATACGAGTATAAACTGCTCCTCGATACTCCAATAGGTATATGAGTCTAAACTGTTTTCCACTCTTGACGGGAAGTTCCTTGAGAATTTTTTACATGTAATATACTTAAGGATAACCCGGTCATATAACTCAACATGATGTTAGACCCAGTTTCGCGAAGGAAGCTGGGGGTGAATGGTTCATGTAACGGGAAGTTCTCAGAAGAATGTTCTTAGGGATAACCCAATCGTTACAAACAAAGTGATAAACACTACATCCCCACGGTGATTTCCGAATACTCTTTTGCTGAGATGAGATTCGATCACTTCGTTGGATCAATCTTCCCTCATAAAATTCTCACTTGGTCAAACCTTTAAACAGTTAGGACCAAAGCCAAAATCCCCTCTCGATTCCTTTCATGAACGAGAGGTCCACAAATTGAACGATCAAACCTTTAAACAGTTAGGATCGTCATAAAATTCTCACTTGGTCAAACCTCTAAACAGTTAGGACCAAAGCCAAAATCTCCTCTCGATTCCTTCCATGAACGAGAGGTCCACAAATTGAACGATCAAACCTTTAAACAGTTAGGATCGTCTTAAAAGTCCCACTTGGTCAGACCTTTAAACAGTTAGGACCAAAACCAAAATCCCCTCTCGATTCCTTCCATGAACGAGAGGTTCACAAATTGAACGATCAAACCTTTAAATAGTTAGGATCGTCTCAAATTCCCATCTGGTCAAATCTTTAAACAGTTAGGACCAAAATCAAAATCCCCTCTCGATTCCTTCCATGAACGAGAGGTCCACTCAAATTAAACGGTCAAACATTTAAACAGTTAGGATCGTCTCAAACCCCTATTTGGTCAGACCTTTAAACAGTTAGGACCAAAGCCAAAATCCCCTCTCGATTCGTTCCATGAACGAGAGGCTCACAAATTGAACGATCAAATCTTTAAACAGTTAGGATCGTATCAAACTCACATCTGGTCAAACCTTAAACAGTTAGGACCAAAACCAAAATCCCCTCTCGATTCCTTCCATGAACGAGAGGTCCACAAATTGAACGATCAAACCTTTAAACAGTTAGGATAGTCTCAAAACTCCCACTTGGTCAAACCTTACTACAGTTAGGACCAAAGATAAAATCCTCTCTCGATTCCTCCCATGAACGAGAGGTCCACAAATTAAACGATCAAACCTTTAAACAGTTAGGATCGTCTTAAAACTCCCACTTGGTCAGACCTTTAAACAGTTAGGACCAAAACCAAAATCCCCTCTCGATTCCTTCCATGAACGAGAGGTCAACAAATTGAACGATCAAACCTTTAAACAGTTAGGATCGTCTCAAATTCTCATCTGGTCAAACCTTTAAACAGTTAGGACCAAAATCAAAATCCCCTCTCGATTCCTTCCATGAACGAGAGGTCCACTCAAATTGAACGGTCAAACCTTTAAACTGTTAGGATCGTCTCAAACTCCTATTTGGTCAAACCTTTAAACAGTTAGGATCAAAGCTAAAATCCCCTCTCGATTCGTTCCATGAACGAGAGGCTCACAAATTGAACGATCAAACCTTTAAACAGTTAGGATCGTATCAAACTCACATCTGGTCAAACCTTTAAACAGTTAGGACCAAAGCCAAAATCCCCTCTCGATTCGTTCCATGAACGAGAGGCCCACAAATTGAACGATCAAACCTTTAAACAGTTAGGATCGTATCAAACTCACATTTGGTCAAACATTTAAACAGTTAGGACCAAAACCAAAATCCCCTCTCGATTCCTTCCATGAACGAGAGGTCTACAAATTGAACGATCAAACCTTTAAACAGTTAGGATCGTCTCAAAACTCCCACTTGGTCAAACCTTACTACAGTTAGGACCAAAGATAAAATCCTCTCTCGATTCCTCCCATGAACGAGAGGTCCACAAATTGAGCGATCAAATCTTTAAACAGTGAGAATCGTATCAAACTCCCACTTGGTCAAACCTTACTACAGTTAGGACCACAACCAGAATTTTCTCTCGATTCATTCCACGAACGAGGGGTCTATTTTCAAGTTGAATAATCAAACCTTATGACAGTTAGGATTATTTAAACCTGTTCAGATTCTCTAAGTGGAGGCCCCACTTTGAGTTTTTTTTATACCAGGAGATAGAATATAAAATTCTTTCTCTCCGATTTCGGGTTCATCTCTACCAACAAACAAGAGACCAGGAGGTAGAATATAAAATTCTTCCTCTCTGATTTTTGTGTTTATCTCTACCAACAAAAAAGAGACTAAGAGATAGAATATAAAATTCTTCTTCTCCATCATCGGGTTCACCTCTACCAACAAAAAAGAGACCAGAATACTCCAATAGGTATACGAGTCTAAACTATTTCCCTAATCTTAACAGGAAGTTTCTAGAGAATATTACTCAAAATATTCTTAAGAATAACCTGGTTACCTCCCAGAAGTTTCTGGAGAATATTAATCTGAATATTCTTAAGGATAACCTGACGAACTCTCAATGGACATACAAGCATCAATCTGGAAATACCAGCCTCGATTCAAGATCTCAACAACGGTCAAGCGATAAACGCGATGCCGGGAGAACATTAGCTATTCTACAAAGAACTGGATAGACTAATGGATGAAGAGATTAAGAGCTGGAGCCATTTTACAGATTCTTCTACACGATCTACTCAATCAAGTATTGAAAGGATTGCAAATAAGACCTGTCTTATCCAAAGTGTCCCAGACTCCTCTATAAAAGAATAAGTCTGGAACACTTTTGAGGGAGTATCTGTAGGCGTCAAAAAATGCTGAAAGATATCCTAGCGCAGCTCAAAAGGAGATTATCGAAAAATCAAAGAAAAAAAACAGTCTTTACTGTCTCGTACGCGAGACCGACTCCCGCGCGAGACAGATTTTGCTGTCTCGCCGTGCGAGACAGTCTTTACTGTCTCGCAGAGCGAGACAGTTCTCGAAGGTTCAGAAACTGTTTTATAAACCGCCGACACGTGGCCATTAACTGCCAAAGAACATGGAAAACGTTGTGTGCGAGAATCACGTTAACAACTGCCAAAATAACGGAGTTTTAAAACGTGGGAAGGCAGTTAAAACGAAAACTGCCAGACAGTTACTGTTTCCGAGATAGTATTTACTGTCTCGCAGGCCGAGACAGTGTCTCGGCCATCGAGACAGTAAACACTGTCTCGGAAGCACTGTTCATCCTGGAGGCTATAAATACCCCATGAGATCGATTTTTGAGGGGGCTGATCAGAGAGCATGGGCTGATTTCAGAGCAGACAGAGCAGAGTTCCTGAGCTTCTGGCAATTCCTTGAGATTCTAGCTTTGACTTGATTTCAAGAAGAACGACTATCTTACTTTGATAAGATATCGTTTTAAATTCTCACTTCGAAGAACGACTATCTTACTTTGATAAGATATCGTTTTAAATTCTCACTTCGATAAACGAAGGAAGAATCACTAAACCCCTCACGATTCAATCAGAATCTGTGATTTGGTGGTCCACGAGCCAAAGCGTTCCCGGCACAGACAAAGATCCCACGCAAGCAGCGATCCAAACAACGATCCTGCGTTTGTTTCTAAAAAGTTGTAATTTTCATTTTTGTTGTGTAAAAGAAGTCTTATAAAAAGACTATTTCTTTTGAATTTGTTGTAATCGACTGATGATATAATGAATTCCACAACGAGACCAACTTTTGACGCAAACAGTATCGATGCGGGTGCGGGTATGTGTACAGGACACATCAAAATTGTGAAATATAGGGTACAGGGACACGACTACATTTATATATCAAGATTAATAATTTACATGTGACCATTATTATTTTTTGAATTATTTGCTATTTTAAATTTAAATTCTTATCATATTTTTAAATTTCTTTTATTATGTTGATTGTTATAGATTGGAAAATGCTCGTTTTTTAACTAGACACTCAAACCACTCTTTTAAATCATAGTTTTTAACTTGGACATGATCTTAAACAATCGGACCCATGTCTAACGAGTTTCAAGAAATGAACATGAAGTGTAGGATAAATGTCCAAGAAGTGTACAACAAGTATTTTAAAGTAAAACATATATCATATAATTGAGTAAATGTCTGGGTAAATGCATGCATATATCCAAAGAGTGTCCATGAAGTTTGGGTACTGGTAAATGTCGGGTACATGTCGGATACGGATACTGCTTCATGATAGAAGTACCTGGATAGCAGAGGGTCGTGGGCTAATACTTCTACAATTCACCATCGAAAGAATTATGAGATAGCTATTTGCGCACACATGAGTGCTTTGTAATTTATTAAAAAATGCACTTTGAGCTATGTTATTTTGGCCATCAACTATTCTTTCTGTCATGTTAGTCAATCCGCCATGCATTCACTGAAACGTTATATCCTCTCCTCTTTATCTAAATGCTATACTTCTCTTGAAGTAAATATTATGGGCATCGATTTGGCTAACTAGCAACTGCATAGATTTTTTCCCCCTTCTGGCATTCTTAGAGCTGACAGAACCTATAGTTTCAAAAACGACTACACATAAAGCAAATCAGTATGTCAATTCTCCTTTATTTAAATGTATCCTTCTATTACATGATTTACATCCTTTTCTACAACAAATATGTAAACTAATAGTTTTGGTTGAATTCATTTATTCAGGCATATCCGCAAGAAAAAGTTGGAGTATTTGTCCAACGAGGCAGAGGTGGGCCTCTTACAGTTGTTGAGTACAGTGAAATGGATCCAGCAATGACTACTGAGATCAATCAGACAACTGGACGACTTCGGTATTGTTGGAGTAATGTAAATTTTCATTAACTTTCCGTTGATCTGATATTATGAATTTGGGTTTATTATATTGCTTGACTATGTTAGAATTTTTGGGCTGTGTTAGACAATTGAATATGACAACTACGATGTATACCATCAGGAAGATATGTTGTTAATTAATCTTTAGTTAAGATGATTGCAACAATCTGATATATTCATGAGCTACCATAAAAATCTCTTGTGCATCCTGAATTTATGGTTTCTAAATCCAATACCTGTGTTGCACACATAGTTGACTTTATATTGAATTTTGGTACTAAAAATTCATCTACCTTGTATATGTTGAATAAGTAACAGATCTTTTTAAAGGTACGTGTAGTAAAATTTGAATCACCCGCGTGTTCATACACGAGAGACTGATAATATATGGAAGGACTTCAGATCTGGTGGACTTCAGATATAATAAATATATAAGGATGCCTTTCTAGGGGTTATATGTGATATGAGGGTTTGCATACCTGATGTTGATATTTTATGACCAGGCTTTACTGGGTTTAAACTGAGCTCCCATTAGAAGAAACCGAGGGCAAAGCTGCGAAGGATTGTTGACTATGTAGGTTAAGGTTAGAATTGACAGTATCTTTGTTGAACTGCATGAAAGCAGTTAGATAAAATATAAGAGAAACATGTAAATGAAACTTAATCTAGAAGTCAAAGCTATAAGTAAGGACAAAGGAAATATCTTACTACATTAATGTCAAAGTGAGGTAAATGAGAAAGGATTTCACCATGGCATATATTATAAAAGTTGGAAACATATATCATACATCATATACAAGTGGGAAAATTAACGTGTAGGGTTTTATCTTCTAATGTTTTTTACTTACATAAACCATATGTACATACATCATGTACATATAGACATATTTAGAAAATCACAAACACATGCACGTACGCATATATCTTTGTGTGTGCATGTGCATGGCGTGTCCGTGCGTGCATGCGTGCGTGTGTATCCTCCCCATTATAATGGAAAGTTTTCTTTTCTTTTGGGCATGTCTTGAACTAGTAACCTCCTTTTTTAGGTACTTGTCATGTTCCTCTTATAATTCTTTAGTACTTTTCATATTTACTTTATTTCATGGACATTTTTTGTGTGTTTTCTTTCTTCAGTGACAAAGTTATACTTTCAAGAAAAATAACATACTGGCATATGTTATGCTTGTTCTTGGAATTCCATATCTTATTTCCTTGTTATTCTCACTCGTCAAAGGTGCTAATTAAATTAAGGTCATTCATTTTTTTAGGTTTGCTTACATATGTTCACGCTGGACTTTTTGAATCAAGTAGCAAATGGCCTTGAAAAGGACAGCGTGTGAGTAATCTTTTATACTCCATTTCTACAGATAACTAAACTTCTCTTTTTGCATTATTTCTTTTTTTAAGTTGTACAATTGAATAGAACTTGCGTGATGTTCATCCTCTGTGGTGTTTAAACTTTCTAGAATAATTATTTCTTTAATATGATATCATCCTGTTTGTGGATTTGTCATTATTAGTCATTGTCTCATCATACATTGTCACATCTTCATTGACATTAAGTTAGTATATTTATTAAGTCTTTCATTGCATATTGTCAGCACGGGTCCTTGCAATTGCATTTTCATTAGTTATTCTGTACTTTGGAATATATTGGTTAAATATTACTTATGAATTTGATATTTATTTCATCAAATGATGTTCATATTCTTCTAGGTTGAGCTTGCAGAAAGATATGTTTTACATGCTTGATGTTTGGATTTGAATGCAGTTACCATCTAGCTGAAAAGAAGATACCCTCTTTTAATGGTTATATAATGGGCTTAAAGCTTGAGCAGTTCATATTTGATGCCTTTGCATACCCTCCTTCAACAGCTCTTTTCGAGGTTTGTTCCTTATCTTACATTTACTGCCACATGCTATTTCTGTCCTGGTGCATATTATCTTTTCGTGTTATTTTCTGATTATTGTCACAAAAAAAGGGAAATAAGACAGAAATGTTAAAAGAAAAAAAAGAGGGAGAACTTTTCTATCATAATGTACGTTGAAATATTAAATCATAGGTCTTGCGAGAAGAGGAGTTTGCACCAGTTAAAAATGCAAATGGAGCAAGTTACGACACTCCTGATAGTGCTCGGTTAATGCTTCTTCGCTTGCATAGTCGGTGGGTGGTTGCTGCTGGTGGTTTCTTGACACATTCGGTGCCATTATACTTAACGGGTAATCTTCCTTCATTTACTAGCACTAAACACCTATCAAATGCCTTTTTCAGAAAGTTTAATTGCAAGCTCATCAATTGGGGGTGGGGGGTGCCTGTGCACACACACAGACGGCACAGACACACACACACATATTCAAATGATTCAAGTCATTTACTAGCACTAAATGTTAGCCCTTATGTTTTGATGATGTTCTTACAACCACCATTATTGGTACTAATGGCTTATTGAGTGAAATTGTAGTAAATCTATTTGTCAAGCTCGTTAGTGCCATCAATGGAGGATGGATGGAATATATGCTACAAAGATAATATCCAAAGGAGGAGGAGGCCAAGAGATGAAGCAACGTTAATTCAAGAACGAAAAACTCGAATAAAAGCTTCATCCGATTCAAGCTAATCAAAGCTCAAGTATTGCTTTAAATATGAGGATATTAGCTTTCTTTTATGTTTCTCTCTAGTGCTAGAATGTAGGCAAAGAGTCACTATGTTTACATGAAGCTATTGGGATTTACACACATGTTTTCTTTCTTAAACTTTTAAGCCGTTTTCACAAAACCTTATTTTTCACAAATACGAGAACCTATCTGCAAAATTCTTTCTTCAAACAGCTTGTTTTTAGTATCAAAAACATTTTACAAAGTTTCAGATTTTTCAGAGGTCAAATAAATATTCTACAAATATTTTAACTTGGTCAAAAACATGTTTTCCAGCATATGTCAGAAAGCGGTCGACCGGATCGGTCGACCGCACATATCATCTTTTCTTACTGGTTTCCAGAGAGGTTGTCGGTCGACCGGGCCGGTCGACCGAATTCTCGATTTTTTATCGGTCGACCGATCCGGTCGACCGACAGTGTTTCTGCTGGTTTTCTTATTTTTCTGAAGCAGCTCACGGTCGACCGAAATTTTCGGTCGGTCGACCGACGTGATTTTCGGTCGATCGAACGATATTTCGGCCGACCGCTTTTTTCCCTTCAGTCAACACGAGATTTTTTAAAACGGTCATTTTTATTTTCGATTGTCGTGCTTTCACTCTTTTGTGCTTGGCTCAGTCTGAGCTAAGACTCTGTAAAGGGGATTATCTTCCTAAACAGGAAGATTGGGTTTGGTTTTTAAAATTGTTTTAATCTATTCTATAAAAACCCTACTGCTGCTTCTTCTTCCTTGAGCAAAACGTTTGAAAAACCAGAGAGAGTATTTTCTGTTTCTGCTGAGAAAATTTTCAAATCAGTCTTGCTTTCTTCTCTGTGGTTTTGTGTGAGCTCACCTCCCAGCTTCAGTAATTTGTTCTCTTTGCCATAGGGGCTTTGTAAGAGAGAGTTCTACATCTGTTATCTTGTGCTGTGTAGTTGAGATCTTGAGTAAGATCTACTGTGAGGGAGTGATCTGTTGAGATCAAACTGTGTAGTGAGAGAGATCGTGTGGGATCGCTGTGTAGACGAAGTTCCGGCTTCCAAACCGGCTGTGTAGTGGATTTCTCCTCGAGAGTGGGGAGCGGGGACGTAGGCCAGAGGGCCGAACCTCGTTAACACATCGCGCGTCAAGGATAACGATTCCTAACCCTCTCTTATTTACCTTGTTTGCATCTATTTACTGTGAATTGATTGTTGTGTGTTTTTAATTTGCATATTAGAGCCTTTTGACCCTAATCACCCCCCCTCTAGGGTCCAACAATTGGTATCAGAGCTTGGTCTCTATATTAATTTTTGGTTTAATCACCTTAGAGTAAAGATCTTATGGAGGCTTCTTTGAATATGCATATGTTAGAAGGACAATCCACAACTAGACCACCACTCTTCACAGGGACTAATTTTGCTTATTGGAAGGCTAGAATGAGAATTTATCTTCGTTGCATAGATCTTGACATTCTAGGGCTTATAGAAAAGAAATATGTAGAGAAGTCCAAAGTCGGGAACATGACCGATGATGAAAGGCACCTTGCCAATCTCAATGCTAAGGCCATGAACGCCTTAATATGTGGTCTTTCCCCAAATGAATACAATAGGGTTTCCACGTGTGCAACCGCATACGAAATTTGGCAAAAATTATGTGTCACACATGAAGGAACACCCCAAGTTAAGGAATCTAAGATTAGTGGACTCATGCATGATTATGAGCTATTTAAAATGCTTCCTAATGAATCCATTGATGCTATGTTTTCCCGTTTTACTAATATCATCAATGAATTACATGGTCTAGATAAGCAATTATCCATTCAAGAGATGAACTACAAGATACTTCGCTCATTGACTCCGGCATGGGAGCCCAAGGCTACGGCCATTGAGGAAGCTCATGACCTCACTACCTTAGCTCTTGATAGCCTTATCGGAAAGCTCAAAGTGCATGAGAAGAAGCTCAAGGGGAAGGAGAAGGAGGAAGTGCCATCACGAGAAGTTGAGGAGCCGTCACCAAAGTTGAAGACCATAGCTCTCAAAGGAGCTAGTGACAACTCATCTTCGTCGTCGGAGAGTGAAGTTGATTTTTCTAGAGAAGTGGCTCATCTCTCTAGAAGAATCTCTAGACTTATAAAAATGAACAAAAAATTTAACCCTCGATCTAACAACAAGTTTTCCTCTCGTGTAGGTAAATGTTTTGAGTGCAATGAACCGGGTCACATCGCTAAGGATTGCCCCAAGCTCAAAGAAAAGTACATGAAGTACAAGAAGAAGAAGGCTATGTATGCCGGATGGGAAGAATCCGAACCAAGTGACTCGGATAGTGATGAAGAAGGAGCCAAACTTGCTCTTCATGACCCAAATGTTTGTTTCATGGCAAATGAACATGAGGTAATATCCGAGGCCGAAAGTGAATCTTTTTATATGCAATGTGACATAGCTATGGCTTTAGAAGAGTTGAACTTTGAATTTAAAAGAATGTCTAAAGAATACTCTTCTTTCAAAAAATTGCATACCTCTTGTGATATTAAGCTAGAGCAACTAACAACCTCTCTTGCTCTAAAAGATGAATTGCTAGGAGATCTCGATTTCGAGAATAAGCAATTAAGATCAAAGATTGAAAGATTAGAAATTGAGAGTTGTAGAACTAGACCCACTCATGCTTATGCTAACTACAATCACCATGATAGAAATAGGTTTCATGGTTCTAACATTCGTACATACAAAAGAAATTTTGTATGCACCTATTGTATGAGACATGGACACATTTCTACTCATTGTAGAATTAAAGACAATGAAGATTTTTATGGTTTGATATGGGTACCCAAAGGTACCAAAACTACTAACCACCAAGGACCCAAGACATGGGTACCTAAAGCTACTACACCTTCATCTTCTTCTTTTGTAGGGAACGTCACGGCAACGACGTAAGGAGATGTGGTACCTTGATAGTGGTTGCTCACATCATATGACGGGCAACAAAGAGTTATTTGCAACCCTATCAAGGATTGAAGGAGGCAATGTCTCCTTCGGTGGTGGTGAGAAAGGTAAAATCATTGGTATCGGTTCTATTGGTAAGAAACCCTCACCCATTATAGAAGATGTTTATTTAGTAAATGGTTTGAATCATAATCTTCTTAGCATTAGCCAATTAAGTGATAAAGGTTTTGATATTTCTTTTAAACCGGATAAATGCATCATTAGTATGGATGGAAAAATTGTTTTTATTGCAAATCGCAAGTCTAATGTTTATATTTTTGAGATGAATGAGTTAGTTAATCAAGATGTGAAGTGTCTTGCGGCTATTGATGAAAACCCTTGGATTTGGCACAAGAGACTTGGACATGCAAATATGGAGTTAATATCAAAATTGTCTAAGAAGAATCTTGTGAAAGGGCTACCTAACTTACACTTCATAAAAGATACAATTTGTGAGGATTGTGCCAAAGGTAAACAAACAAAATCTTCTTTCAAATCCATCCATGAGGTATCGACTTCTAAACCCTTGCAATTACTTCATCTTGATTTATTTGGTCCTATGCGTGTTACCTCTCTTGGAGGAATCCTAGTATGGTTTTGTTTGAGCGTTAAATGTAGTAAGTTTGAAAATCCTTGCAGCAGTACTTATCTAAAATTTTCACAGCTTTCTCGTAAACGTAGTTATTCTTCACAATAACAGATGGTTTACCTCTCTCTCTTTTGATCTTGTATTATTTTTGTAGTATTGTTTTCGATGGATCGAGACTGGGTAAATGCAGATCGATTATCTGAAGAGTATAAGAAAGGGGTAGAAGAGTTTTGTGCTCATGCAACTAAGAATGCCAAAAATTCGATGTTCATTAATTGTCCGTGTCGAAAATGTCTAAATGTCAAAGAGGTTAGGGGTCAAATGGAGTTGCGTGAGCATTTAATGTTTCACGGTATTGACAGAACATATAAGGTTTGGACATATCATGGTGAGAGCAAAGGTAAATGTAGCTCAAGTGGCAAAGGTAAATATAGTTCATCAACTCAACTAGGCTCGCAATTTGAGTTTTCAAATATAATGAACACAAGTAGTATGGGAGCTGGTGATGATAAATCTAGTGGGATGAATAATTTCACAAGTGTTGTCAATGAAGAGTTGCGGGATCATCCTGATATGTCTGATGACTTAAGGGGGGATGCTGGGCTACCATTGTGGCCGGGTTGTACCAAAGCTTCAAAGTTGTCGGCTGTTTTGATCTTGTACAACTTAAAAGCTAGTCACCAAGTTTCTGATGTGTTCTTCACAGAGATGTTAGAAGCCGTAAGTGGACTCTTGCCAGATGGGAATGTGCTCCCTCGTAGAGCATATGATGCTAAGCAATTGCTCAAATCTATCGGGTTAACACATGAAAAGATCCATGCTTGTCCGGATGATTGTATTTTATTTAGGAAAGAGTATGCAGAATTGAGTGAATGTCCCAAGTGTAGTAAGAAGCGATATAAGAAAAACAACTCCCCAGCCAAAGTTATGTGGTACTTTCCTATAATTCCTAGATTTAGGAGGTTGTATAGTAGCACAGAAGATGCTAAATACTTGACATGGCATGATGATGAAAGAATTAAAGATGGAATGTTAAGACACCCAGCTGATTCACCCCAGTGGAAGACATTTGATAATAAATATCCAGAATTTGGTAAGGAATCAAGAAACTTGCGCTTAGTACTTTCAACAGATGGAATGAATCCTCATGGTCTTCAAAGTACTTCCCATAGTACATGGCCCGTGATTTTGATGATCTATAACCTGGCCCCTTGGTTATGCATGAAGCGCAAGTATATGATGCTGTTTATTTTGATATTAGGACCTCGGTAACCTGGTAACGACATTGATGTATATTTGGCTCCTTTAATCGAGGACTTAAAGTTGTTGTGGGAAGAGGGTGTTGATGTATACGATGCGTACAGAAAGGATAATTTCAGATTGAAGGCTATGTTGTTTGGAACAATCAATGATTTCCCAGCTTATGGCAACCTTTCTGGATATAGTGTGAAGGGGTGTTGTGCGTGTCCATGGTGTACCAATGACACTGATCATCTTCGATTGCGTCATTGTAAGAAGTCGGTTTACATGGGGCATAGACGGTGGTTGGATCCAAGTCATCCATACAGATCTATGTGTGAGGCATTCAATGGTGAAGTTGAAGATCGGTCTCCACCTCCTACATTGTCAGGTCTTGATGTGCTAAAAGAAGTGGAGAACCTTAAGACACAGTTTGGTAAAAAGTTTTTAAAGTCTATTCCCACTAGAGGTTTTAAGAAAGAATCAATCTTTTTTCAATTAGTTTACTGGAAGGACTTGTTTGTTAGGCATTTTATTGATCTCATGCACAATGAGAGAAACGTTGCTGCTAGTGTGATAAATACTTTGTTAGGTGACACTTTAAAATCTAAAGATGGACTGAATGCACGAAAGGACATGGTTGCTATGAATATAAGAGAAGAACTTGCACCTGTATCAAAGGAGGGGAAAGCACCATACTTACCTCCTGCCGCTCATACTTTGTCGAAGGAAGAGAAGATTGTGTTACTCAATACACTCCACTCCGTGAAGGTTCCAGAGGGGTACTCGTCCAACATACAAAGTCTTGTAACTTTAGATGGGTTGAAACTGATGAATTTAAAATCTCATGATTATCATGTCATCATTGAGAATCTGCTCCCGATTGCAATTCGTGCTATTCTGCCAGAAAATGTACGTAACACTATCACAAAGTTATGTTGGTTTTTCAAAGCCATGAGTAGCAATGTGATAGATCCAAGAAGTTTGTTAAGTTTACAAAAGGTGATTATACAAACACTTTGTGAGCTTGAGATGTATTTCCCACCATCTTTCTTTGACATCATGATTCATTTGACTGTACACTTGGTTTACGAGACGAGGATGTGTGGTCCTGCTCGTATGAGATGGATGTATGGCATGGAGCGATATATGAAAGTGTTGAAAGGTTATTATGTGAGGAACAGGTACCGACCGGAAGCTTGCATCGCTAAAACATATCTAGTTGAAGAAGCAATTGAATACTGGTCTGAATATATCCCAAATGTCGAAGCTATTGGACTTCCACATACTCGTCACACTGATAGGATTGACGGTGAAGGTGTAACAGGTGGTCAACCGATGTTGATCAACCTCGAACAATGGCGACGGGTGCACTTGTGTGTTCTACATAACACAGTTGATGTTGTTCCTTATGTTGAGTTGCACAAGCAGGGTCTCGCAAAAGATCATCCTGATAAAGACTCTAATTGGATTGAAGTGGAGCACAACTCTACCTTCATTGATTGGTTATCTGGTCATATTCATGGTAAGATCTTAACGAACAGTGATTCAGTATCAGAAAGGGTCAAGTTTTTGTCAAGAGGACCGGATATGCATGTGTACTCTTACAAATGTTATCTCATCAATGGATACACATTTTACACTAGAGAACACGATGAGGGGAGTACTATGCAGAATAGCGAGGTTTCTCTCAATGCCAGCGCACTAAACCAGACAAATATGACATACTTTTGACAAATCATCAATATTTGTGAAATTGACTATGTCGGATTCCGAGTTCCTGTGTTGACTCAAGATTTTAAGGTAACGTTCACGTTATTACATTACTTTCAATTAGAGGATATTACAATTTAAACCAACTAATGACAACATTCAATTGTAGGAAAGAAGCAAAATAAACAAAGAGAGAGCGGAAACAATGGAGGCGCGATATAGGAAAGCATGTGTGGGTTATGCACGGCTGAGAGAGCAGATTGTATGTATTAATTATTAGATAGCGGTACAGATTGTTAGTAAAGTTAATACGGAATATATGGTTGCTGTTGTGAAATGTACCAGTTAATTATCTATTTGCACATCTATATATGACCAAAGTACTAATTTATACTTACCCCCTCCCCTATTGTGGGCTTGAAATTTGCAGATCGAACAAAAACTACGTGAAGGAGAAGAGGACCCTGTAGTCACTAGGTTAGATACTTGGAAGCATGCGAGGATGAATGCTGAGAACCAGGTTGATGATCCTTGTTCCTTGCGAATACTTGAGGATGTGGTAATAGCCTACTTCATTTGTTATTTGAATAATTTTCTCAGTTTTTCAAATAGACATCAGTCTTGAGTCTAATATTATAGTTGTGAAAACCAGTCATTCATTCTTCTAAAAAGGAAACATACTCTATCATTCTATTGTTTCCTCTGCTACATTTGTCTCCTACCTACTACTAACTATTATGACGAAACTTTACTATGTGTGGATCAGAATTGAGAAAACATAACAAAACCATGTATTGGTTGTCCAATGTTTGTATTAGGTTCGGATAACAAAAGAGTTGGAAGAAGATGAGCTGAATGATATAAAGGTTGAAGACTTGCTTGATCGAGCAATTCCTTTAGAGTATTCTGGTCGTGTGCGAGGATGTGGCTGGGGTGTTACGAAGAGGTCTTTATCTTTGGCACCCGAATTGTCTGAAATGGCAAAGTTGAAAAGGCAATGCAATCGATTAGAGAAAGACATGCAGGAGATGAAGACTAAAGGCTTTCAACCTATGGTGCCTCTGCTAATAAATGAGTTGAGGGGTGTTTAGTGCAATTGAAGCTATAGATGGGGATTATGTAATTTACCGTTTCACAAATATGATGCGTTGCTTTACTTGTTATTTTGAAGTACATGTACGGTTAAACCTTTCTCAAAATGATGTTTGCATGCAACACAAAAGATGCATAAACTCTGAGAGAAAAAAAGGTTGGGTAAAAATGAAAAACAATACTGCACAAACTATCATCAATTTTTCACAGAACCTCAGCTTCCTATCCATGCTGAAATGATGACATCTTTGTCCCTCTTTTTAAATGAAAGTTAACATAACTATTGATATCTAATATCAAATTGTCTCGACTAATAGCTAATCAGGTTATATGTCATCCAGTCTTTAATGATATTTATGGTTTTCAAGCACTCAAGCTGCGGCTTATTGCTTATTTGTTATTTGGCTTTTTAGTGTTATAGATCATGCCATATTACTTTTTCTTACCCAGGTGAATGCGGTAACATACATGTTAAACCCACAAACAGAAGGGTTAGCCATGAAATAAAAGGAGAACAAACTACACATCGTAGAATTGCAACGTTTATATACACCAATCATCATGTATCTAATAGAAGTCCTGGTTCCAGGTGTGGAAATTTCTCCCCTTTGTTCTTATGGTGGAGAAAACCTTGAAGCTATATGTCGAGGAAGAACATTTCACGCACCGAGTGAAATAACTTTCTAGTTGCTGATTGCTTAAAGATTTTCATCGCTATTTGCTAATTAATATGTTCATAAGTGGGGCTCATTTTTTTAATTTCACCTTTTTATATCAGATAGTATGTGTGTATGTCTTATTATTGTCTATGCTCTCACTAGACCTTCTGGCTAAAGGAATTAAGAAGAGTGTCGATAACATACCGTTGAGAAATGTCTCCCCCCCCCTCTTCTTTTTCTATATTTTGTAATTTGTCTGTATCTTGTGATGTGATTAGCGAGTGGTGAAACAAGACAGAAGCGAGCATTGTTATCTACTTTATTACTGTACAATTTCGAAGGTAATGAAAATCGCTATCAAATTTGCTTTATGGAGGGCGGCTGAACAATTGTTAGTGGATGTATTTTCTTTGTGGACATTTCTTTGGGGGCGAAACAAGACGAAATGAACATTGTTATTATCGAATTAATTAATTACGATTTGTAGTCGATAATTCAAATCACTATCAATTTTGTTTTATGGAAACAGTAGTCAAAGGAGGTATGTTCTCTGTGGACGTTTCTTACTGCTTTATCGTTGAAATATAGTGCTGAAATCCAAGCTCATGAATATATAAGGTTAAGTTCACAAAAAGGCCCCACTACCCAAAAAAAAAAAAAAACCCCTCCCCAACGGTAAAAAAAAAAACCATAGTTGAACTTTTTCGGACCCCTTTCTATACTTTGCAAATAAGAAATAAATAATTCAAATTTTAGGGGAGGAGGTGCCTTGCATGTTAAATGACAAATGACCAAGTTTGAATTTTTTTTTCCATTCAAGGAAAATTTAGTTGGTTACAAATTATAAGCAAGGAGATTGGGTGAAGTGAGGAAAGTTAAAGTTTAGGAGGAGTTTTGTGAGACACCCCAAAATTTCCTAAAGTTTTGGGGTTATGTGGAATTTACCAATTTCTTTCTCCATTTTCTTTTCGTTCTTCCTTACAAAAACCATAACGGTAGAATATTCTCCCATCTCTCTCTAATCCATAAGCATAGAGCATTTTCCCATCTCTCTCTAATCCAGACCATGTATAAATCTGATAGAATTCAATCTAAATTGATTTACCGCCACCTCTATTTCCATCCAAGCTTCTGTCTGGTTATATCCTGAGAATTATTAAGTCTAATAAGCTTTTGAGAGTCAAGTGTCATGATTAAGTATTCGAGTCCTATAAATCTGAAAGCTCGGGTATAAACATTGCTGATCTCTCTATTAGTCCAAGTGCGAGACAAAAATTGTCCAAGCTGGGATCTGCTAGAAGAATTAAAATTTGAGACGAAAGGTGTCTTCTACTTGGACTCTCGTTAAGAAATGTTTGGAATTGGAATGATGAGACTATCAGCTTCAGCAGTGTCACACTTCGCCGATTAGTCGCCATCGCATTTAATGCATGACTAGAGTCATTATGACTCTTCGGGCCGACATTATAATGACTCATCGGACAATGCCAGCACTTCAGCCATTCTGTCACTGACGCATTAAACGCAAGTGTGACTCATTCAATTGACTGCCTACATGTGGAAAGTGCTGTCTGATCGACCGACTGCAGCGACCCATTCAAATTACTAATGTGCCCCTACTGACCCTCAGTGGGTAATCTCCACTACCCAAGGTACGCAAGAATATCGAACAACGCCCTAAAACTAGATTACGCATTTAGCAAATTTGCTTAACCCATTACTGACTTGAATGTCGGAGGACATATTAGAGAGATCATTTCCGCCCCCTCTAATAGGTGTTATTTATGCAGAAACCGCTTCCTTCAGATTTATCAGCCTTCAAGGATGATTAAAGATCCTAAATTCCTGTAAAAATCTACCGACCCATACAGTTAACTTTATCTTTATGACATAAATATGTCTCCTGTTTTCGTGAGTGCGGTTCAATTGTTTGTCCTTCTTTATATCAATTTGCCAAAGGGCAAACAACCTTTTACGAGACGGCACATGTGATATCCAATCCACGACTCTCAAGAGGATCCATGAGTGAAACCACAGTGCTAATTTGGCTCTTTGTGAGTTTAAAGCGTTTTCGCAATGAAGTTGACATTTTGCGGGAGAAGAGATTCTCTCAATCCTACGTCAGAAACCCTGCAATTATTAGGATGGCTGAATTGAGACCGGCGTATCCAATGGGCCTTATAATTGGGAGGGTTTTATATAAATTGTTTAATAAATATAGAAGGGTTAAGTTAACCCCTCTAGAGGGGTTAAAATGAGTTAACCCCTCAAAATGAGGGGTTTACTAATACTCCTATTTAGATGGAATAAGAGTTAACCCTTCTAATTATAAAGAAAATAGTCAAAATCATTGTTATTCCCAAACACTAAAACTGATCATAAGGGCTAAAATAAAACTTATTTAACGGGTTAATAATTTAGTTCTTCGGATTATCAAATGGGCTAAGTACATTAATCCTTCTCTTTAACCCCTCTTCATCAACCCTTTGCCAAACGGGGCCTTAAGTGTTTTCACTTGACCGGTTACAAACATAATTCATCACTTCCAACCTTACGATCGATGATAGGTATAGTTGTTTTGCTAGTTTGGTTGGTTACAATAGTAAACTATTTCCTAAAACTGAACCAAACCATTAAAATTCGGTGGGTTCGATCAAATTAAACTGGTTTAAACCAGTTAATGCTCACGCTTAAGCTCTCTGAGCCATGGAAGTTAAAATCGTACTTCATAAGAGGGGAAGACCGAGATGATTTTGATACAAGGCCTTGCTGTAGTTCATTTTATGTCAAGTCCCAACCAGCACCTACTCCCAACTTTCTTAATAACTTCATACATCACGCAGGCAAGGAAGAACCAACATTTACGATTCGCATTAAATTTCGATTCGCATAGACCCCTCAAAAAATTCAGGGGAACCCATAATAAGTAAATCGCAACACATTCCAATAGTTATCCGATACATACAATCTCATCTTTATTACTAAAAATTTTAGGTATTTTTATTCATACCGAGGAAAGAGCACAATCTAAGCTCCGGATTTTGGGGCCGGCGCTACAAAGTGTTCGGCCACCA